GAGGGTTAGAACAGCTCACGCGACGAGTACTGGTAACTGTATATGAATGAATTATATTAATGACTTAAATTTAAAATGTTGACCCAAGAGCACTTATGACCGCGTTTTTATAGCGCTAATTAGCTAATTAGCAATGTCTTTATTCGATCCATTGTACTTTAAGTCCCCAGTTCCTTTTAATGTTACAATTATACATAAAATGTTGGTCGTCAGAGAGCGGAGAAGGCGAAGAAACGACTTCCTGTTTTGTATTATAACTGGATCCCAGAGCAAGGACGTGGTTTACAGTAGACATTGTAAGTTGTAGCAGGCCTAACTCTATCCCAAATCATGGGTATAACGCTATCGCAAATCATGGGTAGATGCAGGTATAACGCTATCGCAAATCATGGGATGATGTAGGTATAACGCTATCCCAAATCATGGGTACATGCAGGCCTAACTCTATCCCAAATCATGGGTGGATGTAGGTATGACGTTATCCCAACTCATGGGTGGATGTAGGTATAGTGAGATGGACTATTATGTATCGTACATTCGTTTTGCTTCATATCAAATATGTCTTCTTCGTAGCACATCTATCTTCTGTATAGCACTTATTTATTCTGTAAGCACCATCCGTCTCTCTTTAGCACTTCTGTATTCTCTACAGTACTTCTGTCTTCCGTATTATAGCCCATATTTTTTCTGTATAGCACATCTATCTTCTGTATAGCATATCTATCTTCTGTATAGCACATCTCCTCTGTATAGCACATCTATATCCTGTATAGCACATCTCTTCTGTATAGCAAATCTATCTTCAGTATAGCACATCTGTCTTCAGTGTAGCATATATATCTTCTGTATAGCCCATCTATCTTCTGAATAGCACATCTATCTCCTGTATAGCACATCTATCTTCTGTATAGCACATATATCTTCTGTATAGCACATTTATCTTCTGCATAGCATATCTATCTTCTGTATAGCATATCTGTCTTCTGATAGCACATCTCTTCTGTATAGCACATCTATCTTCTGTATAGCACATCTATCTTCTGTATAGCACATCTATCTTCTGAATAGCACATCTATCTCCTGTATAGCACATCTCTTCTGTATAGCAAATCTATCTTCTGTAAAGCCCATCTGAATAAAGAGCACAGTGTCCATTGAAGACGTGTATCTCTTTTGATCAAACAAAGAGACTTACACATCTAGACACTGGAGCCTCAAGTTTGAGACGGTTCAATGAAAGTAGAAAAAAGAAATAAATAAACCGGGAGTGATCTCCCCTAAACTTTCTCGAATATTCTTATATAAAATAACAGGGGATGGGAACTCGGGCTATAGACATGATTTTTAATCCATTTTAAATACTTAAAGTTTTAAAAATAGAATAAAATCTCGTAGACAAAAGATTGCACACCAAGTGAACGCCAAATAAAAAAGTGCATAATAGTGCGCAATATTATTAGCACTTTAAAAATGTACATTAGTTTTTTGAGAAATCGGAAGTAGCGTAAATTAGTACTTCCGGGCAACGGAAATTACTCAAAATTTGAAAGAAGGTAGAGAATTAGATCTTATACTTACATGTGAAATTTCGTTTATCTATCTGAAATAGTACTCAAGTTATAGGCTTTTGGAAAATTCAAAGTAGAAAAAGTATCACTTCCGGTTATCGGAAATCGCTCAAAAGTTGATACGGATCTACAATTTTGATAAAATACTTATATATGAAATTTCATCAAACTAGCTGTAACGGTACTCAAGTTATCGTGTTTATACACGGACAGACAGACACACACACAGACACACAGACATACGGACAGAATTGCAAAGCCCAGTTTTTCAGACTGGATTACGCATAAAACCTCTTAATTTTGATAAATCTGGATTGATAATTTTTGCCCGATTAAAATAAGTCCTCTATACTTCGCATGTGATGAAGGACTGAGGTGTAATACGGTGAAAATTATTAAAATTTCAAGTAATTTTTGTGCACGATTACAATACTTTCTCTATACTTCGTATATACGAGAAAGTAAAAATGCTGAGACGGCTAAATGAAGTAGAACTAACATCTAAAAAATGTGTTTAGATTGTCAAAGACAAAATAACGAACATCTGAACAAAATCATGGCTAAGAAAAGTAGAACTAACATTTTAAAAAAATTATTAGATTGTCAAAAACAAAGAACTAACAACAACATTGTTGAGACGGTCAAAGACAGAAGAACTAACAACAAAATTGGAAACAGTATAAATTTCGATACGGCAGAATTGGAAAGAAGATAGTAGCCTTTCCTTTTTTTTCAAAATGGCAGCCAGGGACAAGCACAAGAATCTGACATGAAAGACCAGCGCGTGCTTCAGTGTTTACTTCCGGATGTAGAAACGGAGGGCTGTGATTGGCGCGTATTAATTTCAAAAAGCAGCCAAGCTTCCGCCGGATGAAGCGCGGCTCTGTATGGGCCACTACGATAAAGAGCCGCTCGTTCTGTGTTGTCTCAGGACTCAAAATGTATTGATGAAAATTGAAACACTGGGCCATCTCATCATGACTATGGGGAGGGGGGGGGGCGCTTCCCCGCGTAAATAGAATTCTTAGGGAGCGCGGTGGTTGTTGACTTAAGGGCGGGGGTTTGCGACATAATGCTCTCATCACAATATGCTTGGCGCAGTAATATTTGATTAGAGAAAAAAAGTCCGGTGTTTGTGGGAGGGATAGAGACGGGGCTTCATCAAACGGATATTACAAATTGCGCACTCGGCGATTATCAACAGTCAACAGGAAACCGGAGGTGACGTCACATAAGGCGAGGACAACACGGCGATGGACATAGCACAGACAGTGTGCTGAGCGTGTGTTGAGCGTGTGCTGACAGTGTGTTGAGACTTTGCTGACAGTGTGTTGACAGTGTGTTGACACTATACTGACAGTGTACTGGTATCGTATTGAGAGAATGTACCTTTAAGGTAAAATGACAGTAGCAGACAAAGTAACACTTCAGTAGCAGACAAAGTAACAGTTTTGTAAGTAAAGGCTTCCTTCAGCAGGCGGACCAATGTACTCTTTAGTAGGCAAAGGCAGACTAACTTACCCACCAGTAAACAAATGAAGTTGGACGACGTGGTTGGATGGTAAAGCATACGGCTCTTAACCCAAAAGTCTCGGGTTCGAATCCCGGATTTGTGTCGATGGAACCCAGCTCGAATTCACGTTAAGGAAAGTAAGGGCGGCTGGGCACAGCACTGACAACAAAATCCTTTTATACGATGAGGGTACAGAAACACGTTAACTCTACTTCACCTGTTCCAAGGACCTCCGTGTTCGAAAGTGTACTTAACTACCCAATGCAGACTAATGTAACTACCATTAAGAAAAAGCAGACCATTTTACCTACCAGTAAGAAACGACAGACTAATTTCCCCCTGAGTTCCCTGACCCCGCCCGCCATATGATAGCTCTCCCCCACCGTATCATCACTCCCACGCGGGTTCAGCGAGTGCTCCCCCCCCCCCCACACAAACCCCACAACCCTCGTGTATTCCCGTCATCGAGACCCGGATTAACACCCAGGATCAAACGTACACAGCTCCCTGGCAACCACAACCACCATTTTTTTTTTCATCCGGCTCTTGCGGTGGAAAAAACCTGGCCACATGTATATAAGTACACATGCCGGATAGCATCTTCAATATGGCTGACATTTACGAATCAAAAGACGAGGTTTTCCCCCTTCGTTACCGGCGAGTTAAACTGTCATATTTTGTCAACGGCTTGTCGATGTGTATGAGAGAAAGGTAGGGGCGACGCTAGGATCAGACGGACAGGGGATGTGATCAAACGAGTCCCGGGGTTTGTTTGCCCCGAGAATATAGTTCCTTTTTATTGACACAGCGAATTTGAGATTTCTCTCTCGTAGCCTGGCTCGGTGACTGTAGCAATTCGTGGGGGAAATATGGGAACGATAGGGCGCGTTCTTAGTGCGCAGGCTCAGATATTTCGTCATCTGAGGTGGCTATATTTAGATCTGGAAAAACCCAAATGTTAAACATGAGTAGGGTGTATGCAATATCTAATCATATTATGAGAATTGAAAGAAGTATAGAAGTGGTTAACGAAAACAATATTAAAGCAGATAATTCAATATTATATTTGTATAATAATTTAATGAAGTTAAGTTGTTAACAGCTCTAAGCCTGCCTTTTTAATTTCTTTCTTGTTAAGGCACCTTGTAACTAATTCATATTAATTACAATATAGCATTTTATATATGATTATCTTTCTGAGTTAAGCTGGATAATGGAGCTGGGTCAAAGAGCTGGGTCAAAGAGCTGGGTCAAGGAGCTGGGTCAAGTTGGGTCTTTGAGCTGGGTCAGAGAGCTGGGTCATGGAGCTGGGTCATGGAGCTGGGTCAAGGAGATGGGTCAAGGAGCTGGATCATGGAGCTGGGTCAAGGAGCTGGGTCAAGGAGCTGGATCATGGAGCTGGGTCATGGAGCTGGGTCATGGAGCTGGGTCAAGGAGCTGGGTCAAGGAGCTGGGTCAAGATGGGTCATGGAGCTGGGTCAAGGAGCTGGGTCATGGAGCTGGGTCAAGGAGCTGGGTCATGGAGCTGGGTCAAGGAGATGGGTCATAGAGCTGGGTCAAGGAGCTGGGTCATGGAGCTGGGCCATGGAGCTGGGTCAAGAAGCTGGGTCATGGAGCTGGGTCAAGGAGATGGGTCAAGGAGATGGGTCAAGGAGATGGGTCAAGGAGCTGGGTCAAGGAGATGGGTCAAGGAGATGGGTCAAGGAGCTGGATCATGGAGCTGGGTCAAGGAGCTGGGTCAAGGAGCTGGATCATGGAGCTGGGTCAAGTTGGGTCTTTGAGCTGGGTCAGAGAGCTGGGTCATGGAGCTGGGTCATGGAGCTGGGTCAAGGAGATGGGTCAAGGAGATGGGTCAAGGAGATGGGTCAAGGAGCTGGGTCAAGGAGATGGGTCAAGGAGATGGGTCAAGGAGCTGGATCATGAAGCTGGGTCAAGGAGCTGGGTCAAGGAGCTGGATCATGGAGCTGGGTCATGGAGCTGGGTCATGGAGCTGGGTCAAGGAGCTGGGTCAAGGAGCTGGGTCAAGATGGGTCATGGAGCTGGGTCAAGGAGCTGGGTCATGGAGCTGGGTCAAGGAGCTGGGTCATGGAGCTGGGTCAAGGAGATGGGTCATAGAGCTGGGTCAAGGAGCTGGGTCATGGAGCTGGGCCATGGAGCTGGGTCAAGGAGCTGGGTCATGGAGCATGGTCAAGGAGATGGGTCATAGAGCTGGGTCATGGAGCTGGGTCATGGAGCTGGGTCATGGAGCTGGGTCATGGAGCTGGGTCATGGAGCTGGGTCATAGAGCTGGGTCATGGAGCTGGGTCAAGGAGATGGGTCAAGGAGATGGGTCAAGGAGATGGGTCAAGGAGCTGGGTCAAAGGAGATGGGTCAAGGAGATGGGTCAAGGAGCTGGATCATGGAGCTGGGTCAAGGAGATGGGTCAAAGAGCTGGATCATGGAGCTGGGTCATGGAGCTGGGTCATGGAGCTGGGTCAAGGAGCTGGGTCAAGGAGCTGGGTCAAGATGGGTCATGGAGCTGGGTCAAGGAGCTGGGTCATGGAGCTGGGTCAAGGAGCTGGGTCATGGAGCTGGGTCATGGAGATGGGTCAAGGAGCTGGGTCAGGGAGCTGGGTCAGGGAGCTAGGTCAAGGAGATGGGTCAGGGAGCTGGGTCAAGGAGCTGGGTCATGGAGCTGGGTCATGGAGATGGGTCATGGAGCTGGGTCATAGAGCTGGGTCAAGGAGCTGGGTCATGGAGCTGGGTCATGGAGATGGGTCATGGAGCTGGGTCATTGAGCTGGGTCATGGAGCTGGGTCAAGGAGCTGGGTCAGGGAGCTGGGTCAGGGAGCTAGGTCAAGGAGATGGGTCATGGAGCTGGGTCAAGGAGCTGGGTCAAGATGGGTCATGGAGCTGGGGTCAAGCAGCTGGGGTCAAGGAGCTGGTCCAAGGAGCTGGGTCAAGGAGCTGGGTCAAGGAGCTGGGTCAAGGAGTTGGGTTAAGGAGCTGGGTTAAGGAGCTGGGTCAGGGAGCTGGGTCAAGATGGGTCATGGAGCTGGGTCAGGGAGCTGGGTCAGGGAGCTGGGTCAAGGAGCTGGGTCAGGGAGCTGGGTCAAGGAGCTAGGTCAAGGAGATGGGTCAAGATGGGTCATAGAGCTGGGTCAAGATGGGTCATGGAGCTGGGGTCAAGCAGCTGGGGTCAAGCAGCTGGGGTCAAGCAGCTGGGGTCAAGCAGCTGGGGTCAAGGAGCTGTGGTCAAGGAGCTGGGTCAAGGTGCTGGGTCAGGGAGCTGGGTCAGGGAGCTGGGTCATGGAGCTGGGTCATGGAGCTGACCCATGAAGAAATATCAAGAAACTTAAGCTGGACAAATGAATTAACCAAGAAGCTTGACCACAGGGCTAATGAACTGGAATAAAATGATCGACAAGGCAGATAACCCAGGCTTCTAATTTAAGATCTGTCAAATATCTGCAAAAGTCATAGTTCAAATAGATTGGTAAAAATCCAGTCAAAAAGATGTCCAGATGCGTTAGACCTAAGAAGTAAAATGTTTCTATTTCAGGGACCAGTTCCAACAGCTGCAGAACAGATCCAATGACAAGTCTGAGAGCACATGGACAAATAAAGAAAGCGTCAAGAAAATTTGATCAAAGACTCGCCCAGAGAGAACGTTTTGATAAAGACAAAATGAAATTTGCCCAAAAGAAAAACTTTCCTTTCCATTCAGGAACAATAATCCTGGAGACAAAAAAAGGGCGTTAACTCTAATAACAAAACAGCAGATTGCTCTTTTCAGATATAATTTAATGAACACATAATCTCTCTTGTAAAAATCCAGGATTTTCAGCTGTTATCCCATAATGCTGAGAGAAAGTTTCTTTTGCCGGGATTTGTAGATTAAACATTAAAAAAAATTGTATAGCAGTGGAGATGGGGGGGGGGGGGGGTGGTTGTGTGACCTGATTTTTTTTAAGCCAGCAAATTTAATCTTTACAGAGAGAGAAGAGAGCTATGTTGAAGTCGAGGAGGATGAAATCTCTCCAGAAGTCAAACACACTTCAGACCAAGGGTTAATCCTCTTCCGCTTCTTGTCCAGTCGGTTGGTCTGGTGTAGAGTGACCAGCACACGAGGCCCGACCACGTTAAATTAAGATGGGCCTTGATAGTGTCCGTCCAGTGAAATGACCACATGACCATATCGCTTGAGGCCAGACCACCGGGCTGTCCAGGGGTGACCAGGAGCTGGACGGTGTGGGGAATTACCTCGTCGGTGACAGGACAGGTCTGGGTTTGATCCTCAGATGGGCTGATAGGTCTGGTCAGTATAAGGTAGTCTAGGGCAGTATCGGGCAGTATCGGGCAGTATCGGGCAGTATCGGGCAGTATCGGGCAGTATCGGGCAGTACAGGGCAGTATAGGGGAGTGTGGGGTAGTAGGGGCAGTATAGGGTAGTATAGGACAGTGTTGGGGAGTATGGGGTAGTATGGGAAAGTATTGAGAAGTATGGGACAACATAGGACGATAGGGCAGTATGGGGAGGTATAGGGTAGTAAGGGACAACAAAGCGAAGTATGTAACAAAGTACTACAAGTTCCAAACTATTTTAAAATATGGGCAATATAGAATTGGTACTAGAGTATTGAATAAAGGAACGTATAGCACAGTACCAGACTATTGTACAGAGAGGACAATAAGCCCGTATGTATTCACTAGGATACCAGGCCGGGATCCGAACTCTTGACTTTCAGGTTAGCAGCAGAACGATACTATTGTAACGAGAGGTCAGTATACCAATTTGTCTTTGTACTGACATGCTACTATAAATTCTTTCAAAGATGCTGTTATAGTTAACATACAATGCCAGTCACTTATAATACATGAACTCTTACTTCACCTATCCTTGCCGTGGAAGCTATAAAACATAACTACCACCACTTACATAAAATCTCAAGACTTTTAAGATACATATTAGTTCACCGGAGATTTTGATATTCATTTAATCTTTTAAACCTCATAAAGCAGACAAATCTGGCGAAGACCAGCGATTGATTGTCTAATAGTTTAGTTTTTAAAAAGAACAAAAAAGCAAAAAAATAATTTATCGTGTTAAAACACAAACCTAATTTCTACTCCATACTCTATTGTGTTACATTCCTCTGACCGTAATTTGTGAATATCTTCGTTTCATTTCTCCGGTTACAGTTTCTACACGTCTCTCAACGTCTACAGCTTCGTGTACCCGAACTTCAGACATAACCAATTTCTGCCCCCCCCCCTCCCCCACCCCCTAGCTGGCCCCAGGTCAGTGCGTGACTAGGGTTTCTGACAATCACGACGGACCGGCGGAGGCCGGAGAAACAGCGCCGGACCCCATTCTCTGAAATTTGAATCCTATAGTATTGGTCATCGCTTGTAGGGCCAGTTTTTTTTTCTGTCTTATTTTTTGGAGTGGTCAGCTCAATCACCGTCAGACAACCAGAAATAAAGAATGACCAATAGCCTGGTCCAACCCTAATCCACAACCTTGGCACTTATCTTAGAGAAAAACCTGACCAATCAGCGTTGGGCTTTCATGCTGGACCACTGGGACGATGATTATAACAAAAAAGCTGGTCATTCGGTCTGTGTCATTTAGTGTGGTGGTCAGTTGGTCAGTTGGTGTGTGTCATTTAGTATAGTGGTCAGTTGGTCAGTCAGAGTGTGTCATTTAGTGTGCTGGTCAGTTGGTGTGGTGATTAGTTGGTTATATATATATATATATATATATATATATATATATATATATATATATATATATATATATATATATATATATATATATATATATATATATATAGCCAAGAAAAAGACTTCTAATATGTGACCACCAACATTACACAACTCAATTGCACCAAAACTTTAAAACTTAATATAAAATTGTTAAGTATAACACATTTTTAAAACCTTGCAAACATTTATAAAAATAATTGGAATTAGAACACAATAGTTCTTGGACATACTGCTATACATTTATACTTGTGTAGGCCTACGTTGTATACTTATTTGATGTTGAGTTTTAAAACATATATCTTTCTCATACTTTTTTTTACATCAGTCTTTGTATAGCAATATACTGACCACATTCACCAAAACGAAAATCGCTTTGAAGGGTGGGTTGGTAAAGCCCGGGGGTGGTGGTGGGGAGGGAGGGGAAAGGGCATGGATCTGGACGTGATGAAGGGCTCAATGTTTCCATTTCATTATAAATTTTATCCCATTTATTGGACAGCTCTGCCGAAGAATCGCCCAGATATTGGAGGTTAATCGGTGGGACTTTAAATTAATTAATTTCAATCTCCATTTCACACTTGATAATTAAACACTAAACCGGTTAAGTTTTTTATTGGAAGCAAACAAAAAAAAAATATTGCAGGAATTCCCATAGCTTTAAAAAAAATGTTAATTTTAAATTTTATCTGGGGAACATGTTTGTAGTTCTGATGAATATTGTTAGCACCGTCGTCTACTTGTGCCTTGAACCACGGACCACAGCATGGGCATAGTACCCAAACGTTTTGTCAGTTGACTTAGTTGATAGAAAAATGTGCTGGCTTTAAGTTCTTAGCACAATGAAGAATCAGGGGAAAATATTGATCTTAAAATACAGACCTTCAAAAAACCTTCTAAAAGTGAGAAAGTCTTTCATGATATTCACAGAAGAAAAATTAAGAAATTATTCACAATATAGAAGTCGTATTAGAATCAACTAAAAAAAACCCACGGAAAATTGTAAAAAATAATAACGTGAAATATAACCATATTTTTGAAAGATAATTCATCTGATCCAGACTTCCGGTATTTAGAACAGGTCCACCTAATGGAATTTGAATGACCTGTATATTATGTACAAGCACCTGTTATCCTGTGCTTTCAGACCTAGTCACTAAATTAAATAAAAATAATAGGTGAACTGTGTTCTAATTATGTAATGACACGATTACCCCGTAAAAATGTAAAATTTTGAAAGCTTTCTTCATCCTGTCCCATTACAAAGATACAGACGCCATTATGTACCCCACGCCATCTTTAATGTAACATTCTAAAGGCTACTTCCTCTTACGGCCAGGATTTTTTTAGGCGAAAACCATTTTTTTATACAGTAGAAGTTAGTCTAGGGTGACGTAAATTGGCCAAAAAGCCTCCAACCTCATTATTAGTGGTCGGCTATATTTACCCTCCTTTACTTCGCGGATAATTGCTAGGACTAATATCCCCGGACATGAACATCCCGTAGCACCGGAGAACTAATATGATTGGGCATAAACATTCCAGTACACCGTCTGAAAGCGGCGGACATTGTCCACTAGACCGAAATTGAAGCGCGGGTTATTGTTCTAAAAAAACCGAAAAGTTTGAGAGTAAAAAAAACTCTGTGTGGAGAAAGTTAACAAACTTATGCCCCGACAGAAAAAAAAAATGCCCAAAATGGCGCAAGAAGATGCCCGGCTCACGTTCTGTGGGCAGAGGACACTCATTAGAGTTTACCTTATCAATAAGGTCGTCATTACAGGCCCCGGGCCATCCTAATTCAATTTGGACTTCTTTGTTTGCGGTGCCCTTTTAACTAACGCCGAATAGTGACCAGTGTCCGAAATGGGGTGGACAGCACGGAGAGAGGATGTAATGAAACCGGACTGGTCATCTAAGCCCTGGGTTTTACGAGATTATCTTCAGCTTGCCCGGCCGCTAACAT